ATTGGAGGTATTTTTGGCAAAAAACGATTTAAATAATCCACTCATAAAAATTGACGGAATTATTCAATGTATTTTTAGCTAGAAACACCTTCAATAACCTATTAATTTTTTAAAAAGATTATTCAAGGCGTTTTTTGTCCAAAAATGCTTTGAATAATCTTCTAGTAAAAAAAATTAAAGGAGATTATTATTGAATTCATTTTTTGTCAAAAACACATTCAATAATCCCCTCATAAAAATTTTGTAAGGATTATTCAAAGCGTTTTCAAGCTTAGAGAGCAATGAATAATCCTTTTCAATTAAAAATTGGATTATTAAACTTTTCATCATATATGTCAATGAGATTATAATAATTATTCAGAATTTAATATATGTAGATTCTTCCTAATCAAATGAGTGAATCTAAACACGTGATACCCTAAAAATGAAAAAAAACTTAGGTATCGAATTTTTTAGAGATCACATTTTTTTTCAAAATCTATGATTCCGTGAACTAAACCCCATGATAAAGTTTTTAAGTATGTATATATATTTAAGGGTAAAAAAGTAAATTAATAATAAAATATTAAAAATATATATTAAAAATAAAAAACTCAATTAAGATTGTGAATCACTCGAGTCAGATATTAAAATACTTGAATTCAACTCGTTTGATAATTCAAACTACTCGAACTCAAACTCGATTTAACAACAATCGAATCAAATTCGAATTTTTTTTTAAATTGAACTGAAATAGCTTACGAGTACATATTTACACCCCTAATAAGTATGCAGAGCATTGAGCTCAAAATTTAAGCTCGAAGTAGTAAATGTGTTCTCGAGTTGGTTAAATCAAAAAAAAAAAAAAAAGCTCAAATCAGCTTCGTCGTTGAATCTGGGTATTATTTGCAATTTCAACTCGATATACTACAACAAATTTCCAGATATATCATGATCAAATAATGATCGTTTCTTCTGCAAATATGGTCATCAAAGGATTTTGGATATCCCCAATGTGATTAAACTGTACGAATTTACAAAGAAACTTACACAGATGCAGTAAACAACTGAAAAAAAAGAAAGAAAACCCCTGCTATTAGCTTGATCAAATATCTTCAATTCTGTTCTGGAGATGCAGTTAGTCTCCATATATATATATATATATACCTGTATTTCAATGGTTAGGATGCACTGATCGAAGGTTCCAGGGTTTCACAAGTTGTGCTGTGCCGAGGTAACCAAATATCAATAATTGTGTTTCAGCAAACGGCTAGTAGACGACGCCCCCACAGGAATGGCTATCTTAGCTCCTTTGACAAGAAAACCAATTAGAGAGAAACAAAATGATAACGTTAGGAGACCTTATCGCTACCAATATAGTAATCAACTACACCTGTTAAAATGCAAAAACATGAACGTCCAGTCACTTCACAAGACCCACATGGTTATTGGATGCATGGCACAACGACATACATGGATGCAAAATACAGTTGGTAAGAGGCAATGAACGTGAAGAAAAGGCTGTTTTATTATCTGATTAATTTGCTAGTTGTTGCTTAAATTGTTTAGGTCTTTAAGTAGTTTTTTTTTTTTAATATAAAGTATTTAATTGTTTTTTTTACAAAGGAATTCGTAGAGATAAGAAAAAGGGAAAAAATTTAAATGAAATTTCTTAGGTAAAGTTTATGAAATTTCCAACTAAAAGTGATTAAATAAAAACTAAAATCAAAAATTAAAATCGATAGCTTGAAAGGTCTTATTACATACATTAAGTGTGTAAAATTTAAAAAAAAATTAATAAAATTAATATATATTTTTAGATAAATATTTTTAATAAAAATTTTGACAGAATTTTTACCGTTAAATATTTATCAATCAAATTTGGATCATAAACCATATTTTTAATTTTTTTTTACATATTATTGACTTTCATATTGAACTCTATTAATCTATTAGTTTCATTTTTTATTAAAGTTTTTATTAAATAAATTAAAAAAAAATTTACAAATTTCATTTAAAGAATTTCATGTAAATTTTATCTAGGAAAAATATTTCCATTATTGGGATTCGAACCCTAGATTTATTGATGCCACCTTTTTTAAGAGTTAAAATATGAATTGATTGAGTTAAATTTCGAATATACGTAATTATTTTTAAACATTATTACTTTATTTAGGTCTTTAAATAATTTCCTTAATTAAATTGTTGTTCAATTAATTCGTGACACTAATTCATTTAGACACTTCAATATTAATATAATATTAAATAAATTTAATTTGATCTCTTCTCAAACTAAAATTGTTAATTGTATTTATTTTTCCTCATAAGTTTATAATCCAATTTTATTCTAAAAAGTTAAAATTACATTAATTAATTAATTAATTAATTATTTTTATTGTTACCACCAATTATCATTTACAAACTTTTAAAATCAACATGCTTATTTGTGATATTAAGTGACAACCAATAAAGATAGAAAAAATCAAATTGATTTTTAAACTTCTTAACATCATTCTAACCCACGCATCCAAATGTGTTTTATTTTTATTTTAGATGTGCTTTTACTTCTACTTTAGATATTTTTTGTGTTATCTTACAATTTTTTTTTTTTGGTAAAAATTAAGAAAACACCATAATTTATGATTTTGAAGTTTTTATTTCATTCTCTTAAAAGTATATTTTATTTTTCTTATTTTGACTAAAAATATTATAACAATAAAGAAAACACAATAACTTATGATTTCAAAGTTTTTATTTTATTCTTTTAAAAAGTATATTTTATTTTCTTATTTGTTATAAAAATATTATATAACAATTTATTTGTTTATTTATATTTTTTATTTCATTTTTAAAATTGACAAAAAAAAAAACCAAAGTTCACCCATAATTTATTGAAAGATTATGTCAGCACTTATATCATTAATTTAAAAAGTCATGTTATTTTTAAAATTTCAATGCCATTTTAATGATTTTTTTAATAATTTATAAATAAATATCATAAATCAGAAAATTATAATAATTTATTTGCAATATATACATATATATTACATTAATAAACATAATAAGACGCATGTTATGAAAGAATTAAAGTATAATTTTAGTTTTTTTGGCCATTAAAGTACAGTTTTAATTGACTCCAAAAGATCAAATATCAAAATCATAAAAAAATTACTAAAGTAGCAAGTTTCGTTGATTTTAATGGTTGTTGACATAATTAATAGATGCTAGATATGTCAAACTTATAAATTTCTTTTGTTACAATTGCTTGAATACATAAGCATCAATAATACATGATGCTAAAGTAGCAAATTTCATTGATTTTTATTATTTTATTTACTTGTTTAACAATTATTTTCTTGTTCTCAAATTAAAATTCTAAATTTTTTTTTATTGATTGTGAAGCATAATATATATATATATATATATATCTATTCTAAAGTTTTTTAAAATTCAATGGGTTGTTGACTTGTTACTGAGGTTTTTGGTGGATAAGATTTTCTTTTATGAAATTATTAGTATAAAAAAAAATTATGATCACATTTAAATATTAAATATAAAGAATCAACAAAATATATCAAGTAAACAAATCAATTAATAAATTGATCAACTAGCATATAATTAAATAAATTCACACAGAAAAAATTTGATCTAATTATATCTCATAATCTCAAAATTTGGTGGATCATGATAAATACTCTATAGCACATTAGCTTCATCCGTTGAGATAGAAGGGAGGATCCTAGATTAAGAGTGAGCAAAAATTAGTTTGAATCAATCACATTGATTAAAATTGAGTGAATTCGATTGAATTGATTAAATTTATTCGATTTTGATTATAATTAATTTTTTTAATCGATTAAATTAATTAATTTGATTAATTTTTAATTTTTAAAATTGATAATCGAACAGATTAAATTAATTAACTTTTTAAAAAGTAAAAATAAAATAAAATAAAATATTTTTATAAAATATTGTTAAAATTATTAATTATTTAATTTAAATGATACTTGAATTTAAATTTTATTAAATTAAATTTATAATTAAATAATTATTCATAAAAAATATAAAAAATTAATTATTTAATTAAATCAAATCGATTTTGATTGATTCATTGATTATTTAAAAATATTTAATTAATTTGATTATTTATAAAATAAAAATTAATTAAATTAATATTAATTTTTTCAAATAAATCGACGAAATTGATCCAGTGCCCACCCCTGAACTCTAAATTAAATGAGAGTCGCTCGTGCAACAGGAATTCTTTTGACTCGTGGTTGCTGTTTTCTTCAAACCAATCAACAGATTTCTACTCCAACAAAATGAATACAATTTACCGTCCAATCATAATCTTTAACGTCGAAACACGTAATCCCGCCATGTTTTTTCGTGTTCAATGAACGAGGAGTCCTTCGATGAAAGAATCCCCAACTCAGGGTCGATTTACTTTTCTGGCCAATAAATTCAATTGGACAAGGCAAAATCGCCGTTGAGGAGACTCCAATGCTCTCGAGCAAAAAGAAAACTTCAGAGCTTCATTAATGATCCTAACTAGAAAAATTATTAAAGATATTGATAATAAATATAAAATAATAATACATATTTTTTAATATATATTTAAAAAAATTAATTTAAAGAATACAATATATATCATTATTTTAATTTTATTTATTACAATTTTAAAATTTTTATTAGAAATGTATTAAATAATTTATCTCGTAACTATTTGGTGCCAGAAAATATTTAGGCTGAATTTATTCACTAATTTCCCATCCGAATCATTTAGTAGTGAGCAACTTCAAATTTCTACACCTTTTTTTTTTTTTTTTTTCCTTTGGTTTGCCGTATACGTAGTTCTAGAAAACGCAGCCAATGAGAAAGATATTTTAGAAATGTAGCATTAAACAGTGAAGTTGCATTTAACATGAGACTGAACAAAGGCAAAGATCAAAGACTTCCTGAATTCAAAACAAAAAGAAGAAAATGAGACGTACGGTGTCAAACGCACAAAACAGGGACCCACAGATATTTCTATCAAAGGATCCGAAAAAAATATAGGCAGAGGAAAGGTCCACGTGGTTGGGTTCAATGTGGAGATGTGGATGGACCCTAACTCCTCATTGGTCCGAAATCTATCCTCTCTAGATTTCATTATCCTATATGGCTCTCTACAAATCCTTCTTTTGATTCTCACGATTCACATCCTGATAATTAACGTCCACCGCCCATTTCCACCAGAAACTCGAGCACCACTGTCATATAGTTCGAGCGAAGAGAGGCAGAGTTAGAGAGAATAAAGAAAAATGGCTACAACATTTGGGGCTGTACTAAATGGGTTAGGGTCTTCATTTCTGTGTGGAGGAAAGAGGAGCCAGGCCCTTTTGGGTGCTAGCGTTGCAGCTAGAGTGGCAAGTACCCCTGCTGCTGGAAGTAGGAAATTGGTTGTTGTAGCCGCTGCTCCACCTAAAAAGTCTTGGGTCCCTGGTGTCAGAGGTGGTGGCAACTTCATTAACCCTGAGTGGCTTGATGGATCGTATGTGTTCCCTCTTCCTTAACCTCCCTTTTTTTTTTTTTTTCTTGTTTTAGTAATTCAGCCAGGGTCTTAATTTTCTGTTTCTCTATTGCAAACTGCAGGCTTCCTGGAGACTATGGATTCGACCCACTAGGTTTAGGCAAGGACCCAGCATTCCTCAGATGGTACAGAGAGGCTGAGCTGATCCACGGGCGCTGGGCCATGATAGCAGTTGTCGGCATCTTCGTAGGTCAAGCTTGGAGTGGCATTCCATGGTTCGAGGCCGGAGCTGACCCAGGTGCAATATCCCCATTCTCCTTCGGATCACTCCTGGGTACCCAGCTCCTCCTTATGGGTTGGGTTGAAAGCAAGCGCTGGGTAGACTTCTTTAACCCACAATCTCAATCTGTGGAATGGGCTACTCCGTGGTCCAAGACCGCTGAGAACTTCGCCAACGCCACAGGGGAGCAGGGCTACCCAGGAGGCAAGTTCTTTGACCCACTATGCCTTGCAGGAACCATCCAGAATGGTGTCTACGTCCCTGATTATGAGAAGCTTGAGAGACTTAAGCTTGCTGAGATTAAGCATGCTAGAATTGCTATGTTGGCCATGTTGATTTTCTACTTTGAGGCTGGCCAAGGAAAGACACCCCTCGGTGCTCTTGGGTTGTAAAAAAATGATTGGCATGTTGATGTAGATAATAGTCATGTTTAAGAGGAAAAGTCTCGCAAGCAAACTAGAAATGTTATTGTACGTTTAGCTGATGAGTTCTCTCAATGGTTCAAAATTCTTTTTGATTGTGTTTGCAAATCTATAACATTATACTAAAGTAGATTCTAACTTACGCGGTATACAATTTGACTCAATTGGGCATCAAGTTAGGACGAGACAAACAAATTTGAGTGAATGGAAATTAATTCGAAATTTTAATATTTGTTTGATTTTATTAAAATTAGTTTTTTTTTATTTAATTCAATGCAATTTTAAATGAAATTTAGTCTATATTAATTTTAAAATATATATTATACTATATATTAACCTAAATAATTGAATTGAAATCTAACTTTAAATAATTTTAGTACCAAGTGTCCCTTGAATTAATAAAAAAATAAATAAATCAATAACTTTCCCTACAATTTAAAAAAAAAATCACAAAAGGATTATTAAAATAACAGAAAGTTGCAAGTTTTTAAAAATCTATCACACAAAAAACTAAAAAAAAATTTTAAAAAATAAAATCTAGATTTTTTTAAAAAATTTCATATCTAAGTTATTCTAGGATTTAGTAGTTTCATATAATTACATTTTTAAAAATATGATATTTAACAATTTTAAATTTTAATATTTATAATTTTTTATCTTCCCATTGTTGTTTCGTTTGTAAAAAAAAAAATAATAATAATAACAAAAGTTGTGTTGCGGAAAAAAATTGCAGCACTCAAGGAAAAAAATTATTAGTTCTATAGGATTGTGAGAAAAAAAAAACTAACTTGTGTTTGGAATACGGATGTGCCGAAAAACATGGTCCAAAATACGGAATGATGCGAAGATTCTTGGGCTCACAGGTTAACAGTCCTGGTAACAATGAGATGAATCATTCAACCTTAATTTGTCTTATTGCCTTTTGTTTTTCCTTTCTGGGCCGAATCCTGTAGCCTTCAGGATCTTTTTCACAGCAGTTTCCTTTTTGGGCCAATCCTTTAATTGTTTATGTGGATACCCAGGTATGCTGAGTTCGTTTTTGGTTCTCATGTTCTGTCCACCGGCTCTTCATTTGGAAAATTAGGGTTCATAGATCCAGACAGATAGGCAAACAATTTGAACAGGTCCAATTCAATATATGTTTTACTGAAAGAATATCATCTATGATTATTATAGTATAATTAATCAATAATAATTTAAAATTATATAAAATCTATCAAATTTTTATATAAAACTTATAACTATAAGTAATAGATTTTAAATAATTTTTTATTGTAATTGAACAATTGAAAAATTATAATAAAAAAATTATAGGTGAAATGTTGCTGATTCACGATTACATCAAAGCCCTTTATGTAAAGTACTTATTCTTTGAAACTACTACATTGTATTATTACAATCACCACATTCATAACCACATGTGTAATAAGAAGGAAAAAGAAAGGAAGCAAGAGTGTGGAAAGAAAATAATTAAATTTTTTATTTTGTTTGGTAAGAGAAAAATTAAAAGAAAGGAAAATGAAAGAATTGTTTTTTTTTTTTTTGGAGTTTTTTATTTAATGAAAGAATAAGTAAACAACACAATGATATTGTATAAAAATAAATTTTAAAATTTTAAAAAATAAATACATTTAATTTTAAAAATATATTTAATATAATTTTTTGTGAGAAGTTTTATATGATTTATTAACAGTGTAAAATATTTATACACTAACAATACATTAAATATAATTTTTTCCCAAATCTAGTCCTTTTAAATTGAAAAGAAATTTTTTTTCTACTTAAAATTAAACATTTTAATTTCAATTTACTCATAATTATAATCTTTTTTTTTATTATTATCTTTCATCTTTTGTACCAAATACAAGAAAAGGAAAATAACTTCCTTTCATCTCCATTTTTTTTCTCTTTTTCTCAGCTTTTTCCCTTTACGTCTCTTTTCCTTCTTTCCTACCAAACTAAGTGATATATCTAACTTGAGATATTTTGCATTTTAGAAGTACTTGGGGCATTTCCCTAGCTTTGACCTTTGAGTAGAAAGAACGCAAAGTCAGCAGCCAGAGAACCGTATGGAAGAATTGGCTCAATAATTATAGACGTTGCTTTTGTCAATGATACTTAAATTTGCATGTTTTGTCGATCCATCGAATTAATTAACGTAGACAAAGTCCACAGATTTTCAAAACAAAAAGGTCAACAATTCCAGCAATCAACAAATCAGGCTGTGGTTTAAACAGTCTCACTTGATATATATAATTCAGACAGTGAAAACTTAACTATAGAGAGAACACAAATCTTATCCTAAATGATTGGTTTTTGGGGAAAAAAAGGATGAGAGGGAATTAAACTCAAGAGCTTCACTTTGATCAGCCACTTGGGTATATATCCGTACGTATTAATTAACTTTAGAACAAACTTTGCGGATTTCACCGACAGTTCCTGTCTTCACTTCGATGTTGCTCATCTTCACCATGGACCTTCCAAATTCAACGTTGAAGGTCAATCCAAGTAAGCCTCTGATGCCCAAGAAACGTTGGACGAGTGTCCTGGTGGAAGAGTCAGTCCATAATTTTTGATCAGACTCCAGTATTCCCTTGCCATCCCTCAAGTTCGCGAAGAAAGAATTGTCAAATCTGTTAGCGCTGCCGGTGTCCAGCCCAATCCTGCGTGATCCATCACCGTTCTGTGGACAAAGCGCTTGAAGCTGGGAAACAAATGCAGCACTGATGGAAGAATCAGCTCCATTTCCGGTTGTAGTGAAGTTGTAAAGCCTGTATCTAAAGAATTGGCAGGCTGTAGTACCAATAGTGTGTCCTCCTGCAGTCCAAAAATGCATTATACTTTATCAGTTGGGTCTTGGTTTTAAATTTTACATATATAGCATTAAATTAACGGTAATTTAAATTCGGTTTAATTTAAATAAAAAAGAACTGAAAGTGTATAAATAGCGAAAAGCAAAAGCCTCCAAACGAAATATATAATTCGTTTAATTATGGTTCCACGTTTAATTTTGAATGCAAATAATCTAATGCTTACCAACAAGGGCGACAAGATCTTGAGTGTTGAGACCCTTTGCTGCAAATTTTTGCTTTTGCACATCTACGGAGTCACGAAACCCTGGCAAATTGACAGTATCAGATGCCTGTGAAACAATTCCATCTCGGCGCCCTGTAGGCACTGCCCAGCTAGCTCCACTGGTCTGCGTCATATATTGTTAACAAGCATTGTTAAGGACTAAGGCTTCATTATTAATGATTAAGGGTCCAATCGCAAAATCAACGAGATGACGCGATGGGAATCCCTTCCCACTGGTCACCCAAATGAAGCATAAGCTGCGTGCTTATATAATGCATTCATCTGAAAAGATTAAACAAAAATAATTACCAGAACTACAGAATCACGAGCAGCAAGGGCTAGAATATCGGCACATGAAACAACTCCGGGACAGGCAGCTTCCAGCTGAGTCTTGGCGTCATCAATGACTTCGTATCCTCTCAACAAAAGGTTAGGTGGGGCGGTTTTCTCAGTATTAGGCCCATCAATAAGGATGGAAGCATCACATCCCTGTACAAAGCAGTCATGGAAGTGCATACGGAGCAATCCAGGAGCAACAGTGGGATCAGACCTGAAATGAGATTGAACCGTCGACCTTACAATGGACTCAGCTCGAGGACATGTACTTGAGTAGAATCCAACTCGCGTGCCCTGGCCTTCCACCAAGCTAGCAGCTATGGCAAGCAATAGTGTAACAAAGAGAACTGATCTTTTTCTGAAACAATTACCCTCCATTGTTGTGACGAAACAACGAGAAGAAGAGACAGTACTCTAAAGCTGACCGAAAACTTTGAAGATTTAGTTGAGAGAGGCTTTGAGATCTAAGGCTTGTGATTCTGGGTTGGAAATTGAGAAGTATTTATAGGCATATGAAGTCAGAGGTTTTTACAAGTAAGTAAAGCCGGCTGCTGAACATTATTAAGACTTTTGGATATGCTATAGTAAGCCAAAAGAAGCTCACCTTCCCTCCCATTATCAAATTGCATGCATGTGAGCTGCATGCCAGTATATTTTACGAAGAGACAAAAGTCGTCGTCAACGAAATCTTGTAGTAGTATTATCTTTTCCACCGCTCTTGATAATTATGGAATGATTGAATTTTCGGGAATGAAAAAAGCACCTTTTGACTTGGGCTATTTCCAGGAAAAGGAAGGAATCCGATCTGTTTCTATATCCAATTATTCATTAGTAGAGGCCCTACTTTACAAGAGTAATTGAACATATTTTATTATTGAAATGGTTAGTTAATCTCAATCCATTCATTCAGTTATTTTTTAAAAATAAAATTTAATTAATTTAAATTTTAAATTTCAACAATTACCACCTTTTGCTATCTCTAAAGAGCTGGTTCTTTTGTAAAAAAAAAAAAAAAAAGGTTACTTATATACAGTACTTGGCGCATTGAAAAATTTAAAGTGGAATCCACTCTATGGTGCTTTGGCTTGGTGCATGCTCAAAAATTTTATCTCAAAATTTTTTCGTTCATCCAACAGAGTTACTTTTGCAAAAGGGTGGGGCCATAAATGAGATAGAAAAAAAAAACATATAATTGGATGAAAATGACATGTTTTGTCTGGTTAGAGTTCTGCTTTGGTGATTTTAGTTGTATTATAATTAAGAATGTAATAGAAATATTAAAATTTGTGCTAATTGGTGTGAGTTTAAGGATTCATTCGGATGAGTGTTGAGATTAATTTTCATGAAATTAAAAATTATGATATAAGTGAGATTATTTATTGTAGTTACGAGATTAAATTTTATAACAATGAGATTAAAATCAACAATTAAATATATGCTTGAATGTAAAAGTAACAGTAATAGTGAAATAAAGCGTAATAAGAATAGAAAATGATCATTAAATAAATTAAAATTAAAACTTATAGATAATAAATTTATATTATATATTTCATTTTTTTAAATTTAAAAATTATTTAAAATATAAAATATTTTTATATTAAATAATAATTTTATTCATAAAAATTTGAAAAATAATAAAAATGGATATGAAAAAAATTATTTAGTTTTTAATTAGTTTATTATATAATTATAAAATCTTATTTATTTATATTAAATTAATAAAATTATATAAAAATTTTAAATAAAAAAAAAGAAATGAAAAAAAGAAGTTAAGTGATAGGGATATTTTTGGCCTTATATTATAATTTCACAGGTAAAAAAGAAAAAAAAAAAAAAGAAAGGAAGAAAGTTGGGTTATTTTTGAAAATGACAAATGGGGTGAGAATAAAAATTTTTCACTTTAATTTGAGTGCATTCAAAACATTTCAATTACACTGAAACTTTGTTGTCCAAATGACAAACTCCAGCACGTTTGAGCTGAAAACTATGCTAATCGCACAGAGCTGAAAACGTGGAAGCGATGAATATAAATTCAAATACCCAAAATGAGAGAAGCAAAAGGCAAAAGGCAAAAGGCAAAACGCGTAAAGAATAATATATGCATTGGAGATAATGATTTTTTTTTTCTTTTCTTATCTTGGCGTTCTCATATAAATTAACATCACTGGCCCTCTTTTGGCTATTTCAAAGTCTTCAAGCGAAGGATGAAACTTTCCCAGTTGGATTTGCGAATCGTGCCTTCGGCTAGGGTTTGGGCCACATGACAGAGCTTTTCTTTTCCTTTTGCTTTATATTGAAAAATGCTAGTCTCATTCTGACGCGTTTTTCTGCATTCGGAGTCAGCATGTTCAGACTAAACTGACTTTTTCTCTTCATCTGTCTTTTGGTAGATAGAAATTGTATTTTGTGGATAAGGAAAAGAATACTAAATGTCGACATTTAAATTTTAAATTAATTAAATGTGATTTTTTAAAAATAATTAATTAAATTTAAATTTGCATAAAATTTTTTTTTATAATTTTATATTTAAGTTGAGCTCCTCTACTTAAAGTCAATTAATTTTAAATTAGATACTTAACATCGTATTAAAACTAAAATTTTTTTCCGTTGTCCTTTTAAATTTGTCACGTAATAAGTTTTTTTCCATCTCAATTTACATGTGATAGGAACCCATTAAAATGAGTTATCTCACTCACTGTCTATTAATTTTAAGTGAAATATTTAATATATATCACACAATAAAAAATATTTATAATTAACTTTTTTTTAAGGATCAAGTTCTTAAACTTGCACATTATTAAATTATAACAATGATGGACGAGATGCATTAGGTATCAAATAGTGTTGATTCATTTCATGCATCTTTCTTTGAAAATTTGGGGAATGGCTGAGAAATACTACAGTCTGATCAAATGTTATGGACTGATGATTCTACGAGATCCATTGTTCAAAGGTACTTGGGCGTTAAGAGGCCAGCAACCATTGAAATTCAACATAGAATTTGGCAGATCAATGGTAAAGATGAGCAACAAAATTGAAGTGAAAACAGGAACTAATGGTGATATACGCAAATATAGCCTTCACATTGGAGTTGGAGAATCCTATTGCATTAATTCTTATAAAGTCATTGTTTACATGTAATAAACTAATAATGCTCAAATGCGAGGGAAACAATGATAAACTGGCAAAGGCAGTCGAATTGCCTTGCTTGATCTTGCATGTTCTTATATTAAAAAAAAAGGTTTCGATTTTGTTTTCTCACATATGTTTTTTGAGAATGATCCACTAACTTAAAAAATTTTGGAAGTTAACTTTTGATTTTTTTTTGTTAATAAATCACCACAGCTCTGATATCATTTGTTAAAAAATCAACACACACATGCAGCATCCACACACAAAATAAGAAGCTTAAATCAAGAATAAAAACACAAATATATTTATTTCGGCTCAACTCAAAATGACCTACTCCAATCCCAATCTACTAACAAATAAATATTTATATCGTGAGACTTTTAAAATGAGAAAAGTCTTCAAAAATTATTTACTCAAAACTTAACTAAAAAATTTAATTACACCATGTTAATAGCTTACTCACCTAGTTATTCTTTTGGTGATTAACTATATAGACTATTAAACTAAAACTAAAATATTTTATTTATAAGGATAAAACTCTTTATACTTTTACTAAACTTTCGATATAAGATATAAGATAAACTCAAAATTTTTATAACTTTCGATATAAAATTACGAGATTTAAGATAAATCTCGACATTTTTAATGATAGGTACCCTTCAGATCTAGTTGTAACGTCGAGCAAAGTAAGAAAAAGAAGATACGAAATCATTTTCTTGGCCAATAATATAAAACGACAAAATTCAACAACCAGAGAAACATAAAAGTTGCAAGGATGTACAAATTATATTAGATATATGTTAGAAAAGCTGTCAAGAATTCATATTTTGATAATTATAATCGTCGAATTATAAATGTGATATGATATAGGTGAAGAACCAAAATTTAATTCATTTTTAAGAAACGATATTTAATATATTTAAAATTAAAATCTTAGAATTTGAAATTTATTTTTTCTTATTTCCATATTATGATTGGATTTCTTGTTGGAAGCAAGAGTTTAGTGGTTAATGTTTGTAAGTTTTACGTATGCTTTTTAGCCTTGTTTATTTCCGTTTCTTAAGGATCAATAAAATTTTTTATTTGTCTGCAAAAAAAGACAAAAAAAAGAAAAGAAAAACAGTTATAGAGGGAAATTGTATCCGTTATGAGCTGGAAGAAACAAGAATAGCATTGTAGCTAGCTTGGGAAATGCTTGTAAGAAAATAGTACATAGAAAAACAGGTTGGTTCTCTCTTGGAAAATCCGAAAGCTGGTGATGGAAATAAGGCAATTAGAACCCATGTGGAGCAGACAAATTACAGTCGAATTTAGGAAATATGTAGGACTTGTTCCTCTAGTTCTTGGATTAATTCAGCTTCAAGTTAAATTAGGACAGATTTACACTTTTAGAGTCCAAAAGTGCATAGAATTCATCTATCTTTTTCATTTGTTTATACCTTCATTTTAAACATTTGCATTTAGCAGTCCTGTTATAGTGAATTTGTGGAGTGCTTAGGAGTTTAACTGAACTTAGTGTCACGCTGTTAATTCTGTGTCTGAAGCTCAGTTTTCCAAATGGTGTGATAAGCTATTCCATTAAAAAAAATCCTTAAAAAATCCTGAAATACATTCAATTTCATAGAATCATAAGGGATAACGTCGTGTTCTGCTTCTTTCTAGCTGGAGATCCTCAAAATCAATGAAAGACTGTTTCCATAGGATTCTCAGCAATAAAATCCAAAAAGAAATTGTTCAGAATTTGTCCTCGTTTTCGCATTCAACAAAGATAACTGATAGCTGTAATGGCATATGACGAGAATATTTTGATTTTATCAAGCAACCAGATACATTAATTTGCTACTTGTTAGGAGTCATTACTACAGAAGTAAACACAATTTTCACTCAGTACTGAGTTATGGGGTCGCTTCTGTTTCCCAAACATCTTCTTGTTATGACTCTTTTTTCATTGTATAGCAGTTCGATTGCACAATATGAACTGGAAAGGAGTGCTCTATATGCTCTCAAGCACAAGTTTAATGATCCATTCCTAAATGATAACTGGACTGGGCTTCAGTGCTACGAAAATATGGCATTCTGGTATGGAATTCAGTGCATAAATGGCCGTGTCACTGCAATATTATTAGAAGGAAGGGGATTATCTGGGACAGTAAGTGCTGATGCATTTGTTGTGCTTTCTGAATTGGTTACCCTCAGCTTCAAGAACAATTCATTGTCAGGGAATATAATGGATTTCTCTTCCAATCTGAAGTTGAAGGATATTGTTCTGTCAAAAAACATGTTTGATGGACCAATCCCACGTTCACTTCTTAGTCTTAATTTCTTGGAGTCATTGCAGCTTCAGGAGAATCATTTGACAGGTACAATACCAGAATTCAACCAATCCAGTTTAACAGCGTTCAATGTCTCCAACAACAATATCAGCGGCCCAATCCCAGGAACTCACACCCTGAAGTCGTTCAGCGCTGCTTCCTTCTCTAACAATGGCCCCAATATGTGTGATTCATCAAATTCTGGTACCTGCTATTATAGTGAAAATGACACAGCAGGAGACTCCAGAAAGAAATACGTTTTAACTATATTTCTAGTTTTTGATATTATTGGTCTAGTTACTGTGATTTTGCTCCTAATTCTTTACTGTAAGAAATCTAGGCAGCTTAAGAAGCTGATCGAAAGATACCGTCTTGAAGAAAAGGATGATGATTTAGAGTTGGAGGAGGGGAGCAATTCTTACAAGGAAAGTAAATATGAAAGCAATATTCATGCAGAGGAGAAGAGATTGAGTAATGCAAACGAAGAGAAGGGAAATCTCATATTCATGGAGGATGAAGCAGGTTTTGACCTAAACGATCTGCTGAGGGCTTCTGCAGAAGGGTTAGGTAAAGGGCTTTTTGGCAATACTTTCAAAGCTAAAATGGAAGGCAGGCCAACTGTTGTTGTAAAACGCCTGAGGGATTTGAAACCATTGAGCAACGAGGAATTCACCAAGCTAATACAAATAATTGCAGATCAAAAGCATCCAAATTTGCTTCCCTTACTCGCTTACTACTATTCCAAGGATGAGAAGTTGTTCGTCTACAGATATGCCAAGAATGGAAACATCTTCAACCGCCTTCATGGTGAGATTACCAATTACATCTTCCACTTCTCTTTTTTCAAATACTTTAAATTTTGATGATTCCATTTATACTATATATCTTATCCGCTTCTTCAAAATTCTGGAAAAAACCATACAAAAGAATATGGTGTCAAGGAATGATTTCCCTACCAGGCGTCTTGAACTAATGATTTTGTGAATTGATGGATATTGCAGGAGGGAGAGGTACCAGGGACCGGATTCCTTTCAGATGGAGCTCTAGATTATCTGTTGCTCGAGGCGTGGCAGGAGCCCTGGAATATCTTCATCTCAATCCCAACGCTTCCCATTGCCCTGTTCCTCACGGAAACCTGAAATTGTCAAACATTCTCCTTGACGAGAACGACAAGGTTCTTGTTTCCGATTATGGTCTCACTTCCCTCATAGCCCTTCCTATCGCCGCTCAACGTATTGTCTCATTCAAGTCACCAGAGTACCAGAACTCGAAAAGGGTTTCAAGGAAGTCCGACGTCTGGAGTTACGGCTGCCTTCTTCTGGAACTATTAACAGGAAGACTCTCAGCTCACTCAGCTCCTCCAGGCATCAATGGAGTGGATCTTTGTAGCTGGGTTCACCGAGCCGTTAGAGAAGAATGGACAGCTGAGATATTTGATATGGAGATATCGGTGCAGAGAAGTGCTGCTCCTGGAATGCTGAAGCTACTACAGATTGCTATCCGCTGCTGTGATAAGGTCCCGGAGAAGCGGCCTGAAATGACGGAAATTGTGAGAGAGATAGATAACATAAAGGCTGTTGAATCAGATGATGAAGAGGAATTGTCTGCGGATCAATCATTAACAGACGAGTCTTACTCCACAAATGCTTCCTCAGTGATGGTAGTTGGCGGTGGAAGAAGTCGGTTGAAACAGTAGATCTTCAAATTTTACAAGAATTTATCGTTTTTAATGAGACAAAAAATTGGGTGCAACATCGACTACGGATTCCAATCATGCAATCAGAGTCGAGCTTTTAAATTTTTGTTGAAATATTTGATACTCCACGTTGATTCTACCCGATTTTCTTCCATTTTTCTTTCTGTTGCAGGAGTAGCAATCACTCCAAATTTCTCTAATAAATTACTATAGTTGTATCTTATATTTTTCATATCATCCATGTTCTTGTTGCTTCACTAAATTTGTCTGAAAATGTTGCCAGTTGGGTTATTTAAGCATAGATTACCATTGCTGTTCCTGATTTGATAAAAAAAAAATAAAAAATGTGATTAAAAATATAATTTAAAATATTTGATTGTTTATTATTACCGAAAAAATATTGTTCGTATATTAAAATGTCTAATAAATATATATAAAATTATAAAAATAAAAAAATAATTTCTTTTTAAAATATTTTTTTAACCGTAAATACAATCTTTTACATTTGGTTTTAAAATCAAACTTTTTAACAAAGTTCAAATTAATAAATTTTTTAACAGAAAGCACTTTTAATTTCAAAGGCAAATAAATGGAAGATAATTAGAAATTGGTCCCCGACTATGCCGTAGTCATAATTTTTTATTTAAAAAAAATACTCCCCTAAACTTACAGTTTAAAATTTTAGATATTATTTGATACATAAGATAATAAATATAATAAAATAATAATTATTTTATATTACATTTGATTTAAATTAAAAAATAAAATTATAAAAAAATTAATTATATAATTAGTATAAGATAATTCAATCTTCTTTAAGGGAAATAATTATTTTTTAATTTATAAGATTGTATTTATATTTTTTATTATATTTTTAAAAATTATATATAATTTAAATTATATAAATTTTTAAAAATAATTTTAATCAATAAATAAACTATTATATCTTAATCTTTATACATATCAAAATATAATATAAAATAATATTATTTAATTTAATATTATTTATAATATTATTTGATTTATAAATTTAAAAATGATTACGTATAGATGTAATTGTATGAGGTAATATCTCATTGTAATATTTTTTATTAAATATTTTTTAATATTTAAAATTATTGTAAAAAATTTTTATACTATGTATTTATAATACAAATTAATATATAAATATGATACACGGAAATTATTTTCTGGCTACATTCCTGTTTTGCCGGTTTAGTTTCATCAAAAAATTAATTCGTTTTTTCTCCTTTCGATCTCATCTTTCTTTTTATCAAATTGATTTTCCAAAAGACTTAGCAAATAATGTAAATGTAAATCCAAAATCTGAAACTTTTTGCTGTCATTTTTGTCTTTCTACACTGTTTGAAACACTTCGGGTCACCTTAATAATTCTCCATTCTCATTAACGTTCTCCATTAACAAAATGAACGAAGCATCTGAATCTCTGAAGTTGGGGAGCTTTGTTTAAAATTCTCAAATACGGGTTCGATTTTATGGAATAATAATGGCAGCTATTGCTTCAATTCGGGAATTTACCGGGCAACTTTCGTCCGCTGTCAAAAGGTTTGCTCCATTTCTTTTTTTTAGTTATCTCATTCTTGTTTGGGTTTAACTTTCTTTTACCATTCGTTATCTATCTGATTTCCAAAATGTCTAAGAATTGAAGGAAAACGAACATTTTGTTCTTTGCTTTTCTGCAATTAAATTTTGTAAATCTAGGTGAAGTTATGTCCTTTGTTGACATTCAATAGAAATAAATTCTGGGTTTTATAAATGGACTTGAATCTATGATGGAACTTCTGTTGTTGAAGTCTTTTTGGCTTTAGCTTCTGAAGGTGTCCGCAAAAAGAAATACCATGTTTATAATAGGACTTTTTCTTCAAATAAAAATTTCAACTGTATCTGTCATATTGAAGGAGTTTGGTGACAGACATTCTTCTTCTCCTTTTTTTATTGCAGGGATCCTTTACTCAGATCCTTTCGTTTTTTTCAAAATGAGTCCTTTTTTGTCTAGACAATGCCTTAATTGCATCAAATTTGCAAACCAGAGAAGCTATGTGGCTGTCAAGACAATGCCTTAATTGCATCACATTTGGAAACCAGAGAAGCTATGTGGCTGTGAGGCCTTTGTTACATGCACCCTATGTAGCCTCTCCTTTTGATTTTTCTTTGGTATCGAAGCCAAATGCATTTCAGCATCAGAACATTCTTTGCAGATGGCTGGGTGCAAGATATATGAGTAATGCATCAATTGAGCTGAAAACAGATGAGGATATTATCAGGTTTTCTTTTAATAAGCCTCTCGCTAGATTTGTTTCCACAAATAACAAGGGGACAACCAAACGACAGAAAATGTCTAAAAGGGCAAATGAACTTCGTTTATATCCTCTGAAGGCCAAAAGGAAGATGAATTCGTCAAACCCTGAAGTTAGGATTAGATATAAACTTGAGAAGGTTAGATAGCATCTCATTTTAACTACAGTGTGTCTTTTGGTTAAGAAAGTCTTATCTTTTTGTTGGATATGAGCTTTCTTAGTCTTGTGAATTTTTTTCTCTTTCTTTCTTTCTCTCTTTTCAGGTTCATCTGCATTTATTCCAAAAGGATATTTGTTTGATTATTATGTTTGTAAAAACATCAGGCCAAAAGAAAGGAAGCTTGGTTGATTGAAATATTAAGAAAATATGATGTTTCCAAGGCCCCATCCGAAGCTTATGATCCTGAAATTTTAACTGAGGAAGAGAGACACTACCTAAAGCGTACTGGTGAGAAGAAAAATAATTATGTTCAAGTTGGAAGACGGGGAGTATTTGGAGGTGTTGTTCCCAATATGCATCTCCATTCGGAAGAAACATGAAACTGCGAAGGTCATTTGCAAGCCTTGCAAGCCAGGGGAAGTTCATGAATATGCTGAAGAACTTGCTCGAACCTAACAATACTATAATATTCTACCGAGGAAAGAATTATGTGCAACCAAAAATTATGTCTCCACCAGATACCCTATCTAAAAACAAAGTATAATTGCTTTCCTTTCTTTGATAATCTGTCTTTTGCTTATATATTAGAAATTTTTTTATTTTTTTAACTTTTCCTCGTTGGTAAATAATTGGTTGTTTTCTGAGTGGTTTCACTTGGTTTCAATCATCTGAGCTTGCATCAGTGCATAAAGCTACTAATGCATCAGGTTTTTTATTTTTTATTTTTATTTTTTGTGTACAAATACTTCAATTTTCATTACTAGAATTTTGGGCTGGTCTACCAGCTTGGTGCCCATAATAATTTGGGGTTTGTTTATGCTATTAGAGAAAGCACAATTCAGTTTTGTCCTAATTGTAATGTATCTGATATTTTCTCTCTTTAGTGAAGTTGTTTGTTGTTCAAAAAGAATACAGTAGCTTCTTCATGGCTCACTCTTTAGAGGGATTAAGCATGATTTCGATATAATAGTATTTGCTTTTCCTATTAAAATATTGTAGGCTTTGGAAAAATACAAGTATGAACAATCCCTTGATCATACAAGTGAGTTCATTGACAAGTTGGATAAGGACCTGGAAGAGTGTCTTGAGCATAAAGCTCGATACAAAAATGCAAAGGATGGTGCAGCACAGGATTTCCTGGTAAGTATATTACAGCATTCTTTTGTGAAATATTGCCACATTTCAGTTTCCAAACAGTGCCATTATGAATAGATTTGGTTCCTAATCATTTAATGTTGCTGCAGTTATGTATTTAAAATCCCTTTTTGAAAGAAAATATATGTGCATGGGCAGAATCTGTTTTGGGGACAAGTGATACCTTCTGTGTTCTGTGTTATTGGTGAAACTTAGCAATAAGCAGACATTCGGATCTTAGAAGATTTCAAATGATGACTTAAAAGAGTTATTCAAGTTTCTTTAAAAAGAGAGAAAAAACAAAAAACAAAAAAAACTAAAGTTGTAAAACATACTTGTCAAGTTTAATGGGTGTTACATATCCCTGTTAGATACACAAGTTTATAGGTGTTCCAGATATAAATTAGAAATTCTCTGCTGGGATTGTGATCCTCGAAGACTTCATAAAATTGATGAATAGGCTTTGTTCTTTCTGTGTTGAAGCCAAGTGCATACTGGCTAAAGCTCCCTTGAAGCGAATGCAATGATGTGGTCAGCAAAAATACATACTGTTTGGAGATGATGGTTTTGCGTTGTCATTAATTATATTTTAGCACTCGTTCTCAGAAGACCAGTTGCATGTTCAAAGAGACATTGTTTAGTTTACTCATTTGTTAGTGACCACTGCCATGTGCTTTTGACATGGAGCCGTTATTTATATCGACTAAAGAACCAAGAAATTGTACACCTACAGTTGTAACTTGTTGCTGCCAAAAACTTATTGGTTTCTCTTTGCTTTGACTATAAATTGAGGAAAATGGTTGATCTTATGGACTCTATACTTCTAGATTATGACTCTTGATTTTACATTTCGGTGAAGGAGAATATGTCAATTAATCCTGGTCGTATCATCTCATTGGCCTATTGTATCACCTGCCTATTCTCTTTCTCTTGTTGGTTGTTTCACTTTAACCTGTCTGGTTTAGATTATATCTATACCTGTTAGATGTTTGACATATAAAGGCTATGCCAATAAATAAATAAAAGAATCATGAATCTGTTTGTTTATCCCCATGCCTTTTCTTCTTTGATCAAGGCTTGTCTATTTTGATGCGGGACGATAATAGATGCAACTCAACTTTGAGTTAAATAATCATATTCTTGACTAGATGATGCTGCCTTTGGGTGAAAGGATGATTGTGTTTTATCTGCTTTCATGAGATCAGAAACATTTACACGTGCTAAGCATTTGGTTGATTACATCAATGCATGCGAAAGTCCAGGCATGAAATACGCACGATCTGGCTTCATCTAAGCTTCTGTTGCCATTGGAAGTGTATCTAATGATACTTGCTGGACACAGTCACTTGATTGGGGAACCTGCCATTTGCGTCTGCACCGCTTTCAGATGTTCTAACAACTGGATTTCTGCCCATGGTATGGAAAAGAAAGCCCCATTATATCAGACATTTGGTGCTGTTCCATCTTTAAAAATTGTTCACCCTTGGTGCTCTGACCTTCAAATTTTATATCAATTGAGTTCAGTTGGAGCTTCGTTTTAGCTGAATGTTTTCTCACCTAATCTCTTTTTAGAACCTTAAAAGTTGTTTTCCATTGGCGAGTGGTCAAATTGAGAACATTATTTCTATCAAAAAGCGTACCCATTAAATGCCACATAAATGTGAAATGACTGGTTCACTTCCCATGGAACAATGAAGCAAACCCAACATAAGAGCAAACCATGAGAATAAGCGAGGAAATTCATTTTATGAGAGGTTTACTCGTATCACGAAGAATAATGTTCCACATCAGGAAAAAAACTTGGAACAATAGACATTTCATTTCCCACAATTCTCAACTGCATAAATGTTGCAACTTGTCAACATCTTTTAACAAAGTTTATTCACGGAAACAACTGAAAATTACTCATTACGTATCTAGGTATTAGAATTAACAATCGATGGTCCTCAGAAGATCGGAAGATTAACGGCAGTTTCTCATTCATTGACAGTACCATTGTCTGGTTGAGCACTCCTTCCATCTACATAATGGCATGATGTTTTGAATTGATTAAGCACCATTTTCCCACCGAAAAAAAAAAAGAATGTTGATGCAAAAAGTACATTCGACCCTAGGAGTTTGCTATTTCAAGAACTAGGCATACCTTCACCATCTGATGGGGCGCAAGGGGACTTCCTATATCGTGTTAGCTGTTGTGTGGGCTGAAGACATAGAGCGGATATAACATAATCATAATCACCATAAGAGTACTAAATAAATGCGTGATAAGTGACTAAATCACAGCAAAAACAAAAGTAGGATGTAAGAACTGTATGATTCATCACTATGATCCCAGAATCTAGACCATCTCAATATGATCCTGATTCTTAGCTTTATCAAAATCAGAAAAAGCTCAGCAGACTTCAAAAACACACATCAGAAAATATTGTTAAAAAAAAAAAAAAGCAAACTGCAATAAACAGATCATCCTATTTCTGAAAGTATAGAGTTTCAAATTACAAACATAAACTGCATAAAATTTTCACTGCAACATGATTCTTGATATAACTTGTATCCAAACCATAAATTTCACACTTCATAAAAACCCTCAGACAGATACTCAGCATGAAATACAAGTAAAATCAATTATATAGAAGAAACAAACGATAGCATCAGCATCGTGCTAATACGCTCTACTAAAACAAACGGAGTGATTAAAGTATTCACTGTATGCTAAAATTTAGGTCTTGTTAATGCAAATGCTAGATCACAAGATATTTTTACATCATCTTCCCTTTCCCAACATAATAAAAGCAAGTAAATCCAAAAACCCCAATGAAACACAATTGTTTGTGAACCTTTTATTGACATGAGTTGAAAAACCTAGCCCATGCAGAACCTTTATTAAAGTAAGCCACTTTGCTCCAGTAATTAAAGGCCTTAGAGAATCTACATAATGCAATCCCTTTTGCTCCTCCATACAAGTAAAAGTTCCAGTAAAGTCTATTCACTATCCTTATAACCAATTAAGAGGCTTATTTGTGACCAAATTAAAGTGTCTGAATAAAGTAGAACAGAGTGATTTAAACTTTTGACCAATTAGAGAATCCTAAAAAAGTGGACCACATAGATTTAAGCTGTCTCTAAAGAGTTCCATCTTGCAGCATTAGCAAAGGACTAGCTACTCCTCTGGCTCTCACTAACCAGAGGAATCTACTAGAATTCTTAAAATAAACATTCACATACAAATTTCTCACCATGTTATCCATCAGATTTAGACCAAAATATGTGCTTCAAGGAAGTCAAATCTCATTACACAAGAAGGGATATAAAATTAAATATTTTACAAGCATTGAATTAACACCTGCAATTTGGGCCGAAGGGCTTCAAGCGGTCCTTTGGGCTTCTCAACACCTTGCTGTTAGTATCCAAGAACATAAAAAGATAATGGAAACTTCAGCTTAATCTGGATTCATTAGCATTGCCAAGCTAAAATAACAAAAACATAAAAAAATTAAGATTGGCTGGGAGGTGGGGAGAATCTTTAAAGTACCTTTCCAAGTGCCCAATCAGCAGAGTCAAAGTAAGCACGTTCATGATCCTGACAACACAATAAAAAGCTTAGATGAGAATCAGCACATGCCAGAAACCAAAAACTTTACAATTGTCCCACAGAAATTACCTTAGAAATGAGTGGTGGTTTCTTGGGCATAATCCCTCCATATTTTTTCTTTAAAGCTGCCTCCTAAGAACAGACATAAAAAAATAAATAAATCAATGCAACTGTAGAACTCCTGAGAAAAAATTTTAATCAATCAGCATTCCACAGAGAAGCAACATAAGAACACAACCTCCTCTTGAGATGACAGCATGGATTTTTCACACTCCTGTGCGACATTTCCATCTCCTTCTTGCTCCTTGACATTCTCCATGCCTGACATTAGTTCCTACCAACCACCAACTAATAGCACCTACGATAGCAGACAAATGATTAGCTTAAAACTTCAGTAATGCTAAAACTTTGACAGATGCTATGGACCACAAAAGAAATTTTCACTTCTTCCCATCAAGTAAATGTGGTTGACAATGTAGAATAAGAATATAAAATCTTAGTAAACCGGAGGGAAAATATCAGCCAATAGGCGATGATGCAAGTAGATACAGTTCTCAGTGAATGCATATTCTACTAAGGTCCTACGTACCAATTATAAGCATAGCTAAAAAAGCATCAGGCAACGCTTAGTGAAAGAGCACTCAATGACAATTAAAAGAGTTCACTAAACATTCATATTCAAGTAATGAGATGACGAAATCAAATTCAGGAAAAAATTTTGAGAAAAAACTGGATTCATTCAACATATTACTAAATTACCAGGCCTTCAAATACGATTATCCCTAAATATTACTTCTTGATGCACAGTGTTATACATCAAAACCAATTATATGATTGCAAGGGATTCAAAATCGGACAACCTCAGTTATCAAAAAAAATAAAAAAATTATATGACTGTAATAACAATGAAATGCCCAAAAGCCATATATTTTACATTTTATAATACATACAAAAAATCCACAGTAAAAAAGCATTAAATTAAAATCTATGTATATACTGATAACAAAACCTAACCATTAAATTTAATTAATTTGACAAAAAAGAAATGAGATCCTTAACTAAGCTAGAAAATTGAATTAAAAAACTATGCAGATCCACACCTAATTGGCAATCAAACCAAATTCATTTTTCCAACTAATAACAAATCAAAACCTACATAAAAAAAAAAAAAAACCCAAAACCCTACGTGCTTTTTTTTTACACAAATTAATAAGCAAATAAATGATAATAAATTGGTGTTAAATTTAAAGATCAGGCAAAGAAAATGAGAAACGAGAAAGAAAGGATACCTGAATGCACGCACAGCACTCTGCTGAGATTGGAAATTCAAAGGAAAAGATTTTCGGACGGCGTTTGATAAACATAAATAGAAAATATTTTTTGCATTCGTTGAAATATTTCGGTGGAGTTGTTTTATTTTAATAGAATCATGATAAGGACACGGATTTTTTATATTCTTCTATTTTTGGCAACAATGTTTGTTTCAAATTACTCATCTAACTTTGTAATTTATCGTTTTCGTGTGTGTTTATGGTGGCCAAATACGTATTTTTACTACTCATAAGTCATAATCTACATAGATTCAATCTCGCTGAATACTTGAATTCAATTCAACTTTAAATAAAGTTTAATTCTAAGTTTCGAACTCTTTACATAAATTAATAATAAATAAGTTTAATTTTTATAATAATATTTTTTATAATTCAATTATTACATTGAATTTGAATCAAACTCAAATTTTTTATTATGTTGATTCATTTGACTCAATTACATTTTAAATTTCTTTTATCAATTGTATTTATTTTTTAAATTAAATATTAATTTATCTTTAGGATGGTATGTAAAAAATATTATTGAATGTTGAATTTCTACATATAAATAGTAGAGTTAGGTTTAGTTTGAAATTGACTATGTTTTTAGTGAGAAGTCAATTGTTATAAAAAATTGTCAATTGCATTGATCATTCCTTTTGGTATTAATGGTTGGATTTGTTTTGTTGTTTGTAGCTAGGGATGGCAAAATTCGACCCGAACTCGATTCAACTTAATGCTTAAAAATTTCGAATCCGATCTTATCTGAAATTTTTTTTGTTTTTTCATATCCGAACCCAAACCCGATCCGACACTATATAAACAGTACCCGACCCGACTCGAAATTAATAAAATATTATTTTTTAAATATAAATATTTAAAAATATCATTATATAAATATATATATAATTAAAAAATTAAAAAATTAATTTAAAAAATTATTTATATATATATCGGGTCGGGTAAGGTCGGGTTTGCCTAAAACCCGACCCGACCCCGACCCGACTTCCGATTTTCAAAAAAAAAAAACCGACCCTAAAAAATCGGGTCGGACCGAAACCTGTCGGGTACGAATTTTTTTGCCTTCCCTATTTGTAGCCATCGTTGAAATCTGATCTGCCGGCCAACTGGTCAATTTTTTTATTTTATTCAATATTTACCTTTTACATAATATTATAATTATTAAATTATTTTAATAATTTTTTATTTATTTTCATTTTAATTTTTATTTAAAAATAATAGAATAAATTTATTACTATAATGTAAGAATATTATTATTTTATTAATTTGTAATTATTTATCAATAAAATTATTATTTTCCTTTTACACAATATTATAATTACTAAAATTTTTAATAATTTTTTCATTTATTTTCATTTTAATTTTTTATTTAAAAATAATAAAATAAATTTATTAATATAATATAAGAAAAATATTATTTAATATTTAAGCATTTTTAATATTTCATTTTGTTTCGTACAATTTCCTTGAAGGTTGAGCTTTTGTAAACAGTACTTGTTTTTGCTGATTGACATGGATTTGATAAGTTAAATGTAATATCTTTATGCGTCAAATAGATGTTGCCTGTTCTCTAGAGTTTGAACTAATTTAAACATAATAGTTGTTTCTCGAAGTTCGATGTGGGATTGGTAACTTGCACAAAGTTTACCTAATCCTCCATCATTTGTTGCCTTAATGCATATCATATCAATCATAATATAGGATTATGAAACAGAATAGAAAAACAACATCCGTAGCAACACCTGGGATGTTTCTTAGTGTTATAATTATTAAAGTATCTTTCTTAAGAAAAAATTTTCATTCATTTTTTTATTTAAAAATAATAAAATAATTTTATTAATATAATATAATAAAAATATTATTTGATATATTATTATTTTTATTAATTTTAAATTATTTATTAATAAATTATTATTTAATATAAAACAAATTTAATATTTTATAATAATTATTAATTTTATAAATATTAAATTATTTAAAATTTTTATTATATATAAATTTTATTTTAATACCCTTAATAATTTTTTAATTTTCACTATAATTCATTTAATTATCAACTACTTTTATATTCAAATACATATTACTAATTTAAATTTTATCATCATAATAATTAATTTTTATTTTTATTGTTAATCCTACCAAAACTTAATTTATTTCAATCTAATTGAATAATAGTAGAAATAAATGGGTAGGGAAAAAAAAAAACCGAAAGTACACATGTCGGTGTTGACCAATAGGAGATAGAGGACACCTGTGACACGGTAGATCGAGCTGTTTAAGAGGAAGACACGGCGATTAGAAGTTTAGTGAGTAGTGTAGTAGTCGGGCCGGCCGCCCTTATAGCTCTGCCTCTGCCTTCTCCGTATCTTATCTTTCTTACTTCACAACTTCCATCTGTCTAATCTACTCTCTACTCCTATAACACTAGGCTTCCTCTTTCATTATCTCTCTCTTTTACACTTTTACTCCCCCTGTTTTCCGGGTCAGAGAAAAGAAAAGAAAAGAAAGAATTCGTCAACCATGGTTGGCCTTAGTGATAACAATTCCAGTTGCAATAGTAGCAGCAAAGCAAAAGACAAAAAGACAAAGAAGAAGAAGAAGAAGCGTGGGGGTAGCAAAAGGAAGATGACAGCTGAGCAAACTTTGGCTTTCAAATCGGTGACTGAATGGGTTTATTCGGATCGTCAGAATTCCTCTTCCACGCTGGCTTTATCTTCATGGGTGGTGGATGATTTCGGGGTGCAGAAGAGTCTAGGGAGAGGGATGGAGAAATTGGTGTTTGAATTGCATTCCCATTCTAAACATAGTGATGGGTTCTTGTCCCCTTCTAAGCTTGTTGAGAGAGCTCATGGCCATGGGGTGAGTCTAGATTCCTTTCCTTTTTTTTTTTAATTACAAATCGACATCTGATAGGGGCTTTGCTTTTTATATCTGAATATGCTATGTTTTTGGAGTTTTTGAATGAATGCTTCACCCAAATGTTTTTATTGAATAGCCGAAACATAAATAGTACTAGTACTTTTTACGGATCTGTTGGGTTACTATTCTAATGGTATAATGTCTTTCTTGAACAGTGGGTGGAAGTGTTTTTTTGCTTTTTGTGTGTAAATTTCTCTAAGTTTCTTGTTTCAAGTTTTGCTTTTATTGGTTTAAATTCGTTGTCTGACTCCCATGCGGATTTGGGTACCAAGCCTTTTGCTATGTCTTCTGCTTCTACAGTTGAGACATTTAAAGACTTGTACTTCATGTGTCCCTTATGTTAAAGTTTCAAATTTGATTTTTCCTAGTCTTTTTCCTGCTTACAAACTTTAAGGCTACTGTGTACTATCTTGTAATTCTGAAATCTATGATGGTACATCTCTTTGTATTTTTTATGGTTTATTGATGGAAAAAGTTATAAATGAATGTGATGGTTTTGAAGGTGAATTCTTTCCAGCAAGAAGTACCTATTGAAAATTTGTAACATTAGCATTTCAAAGGAAGGAGTTAGTGTTCTGGATAAGGAAGTCTGATCTAATTTAGCCAACAAAATCTGCCCGTGAACTAAATAGATTCTAGGCAGCACATAAATGGCCAAAACTACTTAGCAAGGACCTATGACAGGTGACAAAAGATTGATGTGTTTTAGCAGTACACTTCAAGTGTTTATGTTTTTCTTGCTCCACTCTATTCTTTTAACACACAAATACATATACATATGACTTAGGAAACGGAAAAAGGTTTCTGTATTGAAATATGACAGGTTTTTGGTAGTTTTCTGATGGTCTTGTCTGTCATTTTTTTAATAGTGAAATGTTTTCACATAACTCTTTTGGTTTAAGTGAGTTTCATTTTGACAAACCTTCAACTGATATACTAATTTTTATGGCGTGATATTGTATTGATTTTGCGTGTGAACTATTCCTTTGCAGATGCGTGCCTGTGTGTGGTTATTTTCTGTACCTGAACAGATATCATATGCTTGATTTTGTAATTACTGGTTATTGTCCCAAAGAAGGAAACTAATGGTGACAGACTTCTGTATCTTTGGTTTAATAACTTTGCATTATTATGTTGTAATTTATTACAGAAGAAACACTATGGGACAACTGATTTGAGCTTGAATTCCTAAATGCATCTAAACTTTGAGGAATAACAAAAGTCAAATTAGGAAATCAGCTTCATTTTACGAAGCAGACTAGTATTGTAGGAGGAATTCAGGGATCCATCATGTGGAGTTATCTATTAGAAATGTATTCTTTACTGCCAATGTAATCTTCATGTTTTGTTTCTTTCTAATGTTTCATTAAATTGGCAGCTCTTGCATGTTGGTTCTGTAATACATTTTAAGTAATTGGAATTTGACTAGTACATTGTGTTCAGAACAGGTGAAAGTTCTTGCTCTGACAGATCACGATACAATGTCTGGGATCCCTGAGGCTATAGAAACGGCTCGCAGATTTGGTATCAAGATAATCCCTGGTGTTGAGATCAGTACCATATTCTCTCCGAGGTTTTTGTTTGATTGATACAATCATCATTATGAATGCAGTTTTTCTTTTATTTTTTAATAGTCATTTACATGAGCAAGGATTATCTCCTGGTGCTTTCATATCATTTATCCTCGCTTCAGGGGCTAAATGTGTCCAAAATCCAGCTTTTAGTAAGATGTGGATAAAGTTAGCCTGAAATCTGAAGAAGCTGGCTGTCCAGTTGTTTTCTGTTTTCTCTATATTTCTACACCTCTTATGTTTCATTTTTTTATTCAAAAGCAGAAATTCTGAAATGGAGGAACCAGTGCACATCCTTGCATATTACAGCAGCTGTGGCCCAACAAGGTATGAGGAGCTGGAAAAATTATTGGCTAACATAAGGGAAGGACGTTATCTCCGTGCTAAGGACATGGTATTGAAACTCAATAAACTCAAGCTACCTCTTAAGTGGGAGCATGTTACAAAGATTGCAGGCAAGGGAGTGGCTCCTGGGAGACTGCATGTGGCCCGAGCTATGGTTGAAGCAGGTTATGTAGAGAATCTAAAACAAGCTTTCACCAGATATTTATATGATGGTGGACCTGCTTATTCCACGTAATCTTCTTTTTTTTCGTATCTTTTTCCCCTTGATTTTGCCCAATGCATATTTCTTCATTTTTTAGAAATGATTTATGAAAATTTTGTTTGGTCCTGGCCGTAGGGGAAGTGAACCTCTTGCAGAAGAAGCAGTGCAACTTATATGTGAATCAGGGGGTTTAGCAGTTCTGGCTCATCCTTGGGCATTAAAAAATCCAATTATTATCATAAAAAGGTTAAAAGATGCAGGTCTTCATGGAATGGAGGTTTACAGAAGTGATGGAAGATTGGCAGGTATTATATTGCTGTGTTGATATCCCTCTCTCTCACACAGACATGCATTTATATATCCACCTGGCTGTCCACGTACTCAGAAAAAAGAAAAATACAATCACACACCCAGTAATACTCATTATTTTCTTATGATTGCATAATCAGATTCTACACTGGATGTAGCATTTTCTTGATTTTCTCTTATTTATAATACAGTAATTTTGCTTTGTGCTCCCTTGTTATATATATATATATATATATATGTATGTATGTATATCTATGTTTAAGTTGAGCTCAGCTTTGCACAAAGATGATTTTAAGACTAGTTGCTAAATCTATCTGCTATTGTCATTTTTCTGCCCATTTTCTTTGCCGGCTGCCTAAAAGCTTTTTCTGTCATTGTGGTTAACAGCATACAGTGACTTAGCGGATACTTATGGCCTTCTGAAGCTTGGAGGATCAGATTATCATGGGAGAGGTGGGCATGGTGAGTCCGAACTAGGAAGTGTGAACCTTCCAGTGTTGGTTTTGCATGACTTTCTTAAGGTAGCTCGACCTATCTGGTGCGGTTCCATTAAGGACATTCTTGTGAGTTATGCAGAGGAACCCTCTGAATCAAAACTAGCCAGGATTGCAAGATTTGGGAGGACGGGCAGTTTCAAGGGAAGTTCTCCCTTGAGTTGTGGCAAGGACTTGATTGATCGTTGTTTATCATTGTGGTTGACTACCGAAGAAAGGCAGAATGCTGAATTTGAGGCTATTAGGTTGAAGCTTTCCCATATTTAATCAACCTGGCAGGAGTACAAATTCCCATAGAGAGTAAATAATACTTGATTGGAAAAGATTATACCAGTTGCTTCTTGGCATTTTGCTAAGAGAACAGTGAGTAACAAATTCTTTTCCCTTTAATAGTTTGGAAAAGATCTGAAATTAAAACTTGTCGACGTCTTGATTCAACCGAGTCTTTATTTTTTGGGCCTTTTCGGTTTTCTTTATATCATGAAAAACATGTACCTGACAGTTAGCGGATTCAGCCATGCTTGTTTTTTCTAGACACTAACCAAGAGTCTTCCGTCTGATATATTTTCCATTGCCTACTGTTTAATTCTAGTTCAATCTGAAGGAAATGTAACGGTAAGGCCGACTTTTGAGTTCATAGCCAAATTGGAAAAAAGGAAGTTAGCTAAATTTACGTAACTTGAATCAATCTCTTTTAATTTTAAATTAAATAATTTTTCAGTATTCTATTTTGTCAAATTTTATTTAGGAATTAAAACAAGATAATTTTTCAAAACAAAATAAATTAAGACACATTTTGACAGAAGTGATCGGTCCCCTAGCAAAGGGATCGATCCTTTTTTTTTTTTTCAGAAACAAATTTTGTGAAGTTTTAACAAGAATCAATTGATCATCCCCTTGTAGAGATCGATTGATTGCGGTTTCAAGCTTATCCAATCGATCTCTCCCTTAAAATGATCGATCACTTTTTTTATACAGAATGTTATTTTGTTGAAAATTTTCACAAAAAATATCGATTCCTTTGCATAGAGGATCGATCACCTAAACTTGAAATCAATCCCTTTATAAAAGGGATCGATCTGTTTTCTTGGTAGAATATAATCTTGGTTTGAAAATGAACAAAAGGGCTCGATCCCCCTTCATAGGGGATCGATCACCAAAGAATGGATCGATCAGGTGTATTACCTGATCGATCGGGTAAGGCTTCTTTGGCACAAATTTGGGCTACTTCAAAATTGATCCAATTGATCCCCTAAATGAGAGAATTGATCTCTTGATGCCTAGAAAGTCGTAACAACTATATTTTGTCAGATATTTTTGTAGGTTTGAAGTATTAAATACAAGGCAACGGCTCTCAACTTCTTTCTACCTATAAAAGAAGCATTTCACTGCAGAACAAGAACAATAAAAGCTAAGAAAACTTATTGCTATTCACCAACCATCTTGTTCAAGCATTCAAAGCAATTTAAAGAAAGAAAAGTACAAAAAATCTTACTTGTATCAATTTTTCTCTAAATTTCTTTGTCAATACTGTTGTGTACTTCAAGTTAGCAAACACCTTTAAGTTTGCAAAACACTTGAGAAACTTTGTATTGTGAGATTGTGAGCTTAAAGGAGAGGATAACCCTTAAGAGCTTATGGTGTTGATTGTGTAAGGCTTTGAGAAACTCGGTTGTATCTTTCAAGATATAGTTGATTGAACTCCTTGGCAAAAGAGGCTAAGGGAGATGACATAGGTGCCTAAAGAAAAGATCGAACCTCTATAAATATTGGTGTCTAATTTTCTATCTCTTTCTCTTGTTTACTATCATTTATTATGTTTATTTGCTTAGATAAATTGGTTTGTAGAATTTGTACTTATTAAGTATTGATTTTAAAAATTTTATTATAATCAATTCACCCCCTCTTGATTTATTTCAAGTCTTTGAGCTAACAATTGGTATCAGAGCTAATACTCTTTTTTGTAGATCTAACAACCCAAGAATGATCCTGAAAAAGGTTAAAAAAAATATCGTGATCAATGTGAAACAACCATCTTCAAGCTACAACAAATATAGTAGGCAATAAGAAATGTGTCTTATGACAAATGAAACAGTTGCTACATCTCTTAAAAGTGAAGGCCATTCAATTGTAAGACCTCTTCTTTTTGTTGGTAACAACTACTTATATTGAAAGACTAGGATGAGGTTGTTCATTCAAGCTAATGAATATAAAGTTTAGAGGGTCATTGTAAATGGTCCTCAAAAATTCAATGAAGATGGTGAATGGTAGGGAGGTGATTAAGCAAGAGAGTAAATGGGATGTCAATGATATGAAGATGACTTAACTAAATGCCAAAGCAATGCATATGCTCTTTTGTGCATTGGGGCCTAATAAGTACAATAGAGTTTTTTTGTATGAAAATGAAAAAAAAAATTTTTAAAAAGTTAGCTATCACTTATAAAGGTACAAATCAAGTGAAAAAGATAAAAATCGACATGCTCACTCATGATTATGAGTTATTCAAGATGAAATCAGATGAAACCATTAATGAAATATCAAACCGCTTCATCGACATCATTAATGATTTAAAAGCTCTTGGAAAGACTTACTCAAATGTGGAGATGGTGAAAAAAATTCTTAATAGTCTACCAAAGAGCTGAAAAGCTAAAGTGACAACCATTAAAGAGTCGAAGGATCCTCACACATTCTTTTTAGATGAATTAATGGGTTCTCTCCTTACCTATGAGATGAAGCTCAAAAAGGGATAAAAACCAATCAAGAAAGATGGCATTGTTTTCAAATTTACCTTTCAAGAAGATGAAGAAAATCTTAGACAAAAAAAAGATGATGAAAATGAAGAGATGGCCATGTTTACAAAAAGATTCAAGAAGTTTATGAGGATTAACAAGTTCTCAAGTAGAAGAAGACCACAAAGAAAAATGATTAAAGAAGAATCAGTAGAAGAGAAAAAGATCAAATCATTTGCTATGAATGTAACAAATTGGGTCATATTAAGTTTGATTGTCCTTTATGAAAGAAGCAAAACATAACAAAGCCAAAGAAAAAAGTAATGGTTGCAACATTGAGTGATAGTGACTTCTCCGAAGATAAATCAAATTAGGAAGTAGCCAATCTATGTCTTATGGCTCTTGATGAGTCCAAGGTAACTTTTAATCCATATGATTTAAATTCATACACATTTGATAAATTGTAAGATACTTATGATGAATTAGCCATAGAATTTGAAAACATAAACATGAAATATAAAAAAATGATCTTTAAGTTGAAACTAAAAAATGAACTCTTGATTAAAGCAAATGATGACTTAGAAAAGAAAGTTGAGCTCTTAAAGTTGAATGTCAATGACTTGACTAAGAAAAATAAAAATTTTCATAACTCATTTTCTGGATTTTATATGGGACATCAATAGTTCAATGATATGCTTGAAACACAAAAAGTATTCTTTGACAAAGATGGATTAGGCTATAATGGTGGCAACAAAGAGACTCATTTAAAGAATTTTCTTGTTAAGCCAAATGATTCATCTAACATATGTGCATATTATCATAAATTAGGTCATTATATACAATATTGTTCTTTGAAGAAAGTCACTTATAAAGGTAAACTCATTAGGAGAGTGTGGATTCCAAAAAGAGTTAGCACATCTCAAGATGAGATTACTAAAATGAAGTGGATTCCAAAATGTACAAAAATTGTTAGTACTAACACTCAAGGATCCAAGAAAGTTTGGGTACCCAAAATAAAATTTTAATTATATTTTTATAGGTAGATGAGCATTGCTACAAAGATAATTCAAGCAAGAACAATCTATAGTACCTTAATAATGGATGCTCAAAACACATGATCGGAGACAAAACTCTTTTTAAGGATTTAAAAGCTAAAAGTGAAGGAGATGTTACATTTGGTGACAATTCTAAAGGCCAAATTGAAAGAATTGGCTCCACTGGTAACAATTCTTCTACTACTATTAAAAATGTTTTACTTGTAAAAAGACTCAAGCATAACTTACTTAATATTAGTCAATTATGTGATAAAGGACTTAGAGTTGTGTTTGAATCTATGTGCTGTCACATAATTGATATCAAAACCAACAAGCTTGTTTTTGTTGGACATCATCAAAAAAAATATTTATGTAGTGCATCTAGATGATCTTTCCTCCAAAAATGTTTGTTTTATAACTCAAAAAGAAAATGAAAGTTGGATTTGGCATAGAAGACTTGGACATGCAAATATGCATGTAATTTCAAAACTTTCTCAAAATGATTTGATTGTTGGTTTGCCAAAATTGAAATATGAAAATGACAAAGTTTGTGATGCATGTGCTCAAGAAAAACATAGAAAAATCTCTTTCAAATCTAAAAATTGCATTTCAACTACTAGACCTCTTTAACTACTTCATATTGATCTTTTTGGACTTACTAGGATAATTAGTCTTAGTGAAAAATAATATGGGTTTGTTATTGTTGATGACTTTACTAGATTCATATGGGTTCTCTTTTTTGCATTCAAAGAATGAAGCTTTGAAAAAATTTATCACTTTTAGCAAACAAATACAAAATGAAAAAGGCTATTCAATTTCTAGTATTATAAGTGATTGTGAAAAAGAATTTAAAAATATTGGCTTTAATGTGTTTTGTAGTGAAAATGGCATTAGCCATAATTTTCCTACTTCTAAAACTCTTCAACAAAATGGGGTAGTAGAAAAGAGAAATAAAACTTTAGAAGAAATGGCTAGAACCATACTTTGTAAAAATAATTTTCCTAGATATATTTGGACGAAAGCCATAAAAACTTCTTGTTATATTATAAATAGAGCTGTGATTAGACCAATTTTGAAGAAAACTCTTTATGAACTTTTTAAAGGAAAAAAGCCTAACATAAGTTATTTTCATCCTTTTGGTTGCAAATGTTTTGTTTTGAATAATGAAAAAGATGATCTTGAAAAATTTAATGCAAAAAATGATGAAAAAATTTTTCTAGGATATTCTTTGAATTCAAAAGCCTATAGAATCTTTAATAAAAGAACATTAGTTGTTGAAAAGTCTATATATGTTATTTTTTATGAATCTAATCCACCTCCAAGAAAGGTACCTCTTGATGATGATGATGTAGGTATACTTTAACAAAATGTCAATGATGCATCACTTGACATTGAGGAGAATAACCAAAAAAAAGATGATGAGTTTCTAAATGATCCACAACATATAAAGAAAGAGCCAAATCACCATAGAGAAAAAAGATATATCAAAGATAGTGAAATTATTGGTGATCTAACTCAATGGGTAAGAACTAGATCTTCTTATAATATATGTAATTATGTTGTTTTCTTATCTCATATTGAACCCAAGAATATAGATGAAGCCTTATGAGATGATCATTAGATATTGACCATGCAAAAAGAATTGAACTAATTTGAAAGAAGCCAAGTATGAAATCTTGTACCTAGGCCTAGTGATCATCCTACTATAGGTACCAAATGGATTTTTAAGAATAAAATGGATGACCATGGAAATATTGTTAGAAATAAAGCTAGATTGATAGTTCAAGAGTATAGTCAAGAAGAAGAAATTGATTATGATGAAACCTATGCTCCGGTTACAAGGTTAGAAGCCATTAGAATGTTGCTTGCATTTGCATGTTTCAAAAATTTTAAGCTTTTTCAAATAGATGTCAAGAGTGCATTTATA